ATCTTTAGTCACCCGCCATCCGATGACCTGTATTCCTCAGAAGACGGATCTATGAGAATATTTATTTCAGCTAAATTATCAAATTTTCAAAAATAAACACTTTCTGGTCCACTGGCTTACCAAGATGACGTTCATACACCTTTGGTTCCCTCAAATCTCTGCGTCTATCAACCGATAGGGGGCGTCATGATTGACAGCTAATAACCGCAAATTTCCCGCGGGAATCCGCAATTTGTCCCCTCTGATCTCCTGTGACTTCTCTGAAACTAGCAATACCAATTTGACAGCACCGATGTTTAATGAATAGTGAGTTATTTCTTTTTAACCAACTTGAAAATCAAAACGGAGGAGATTCTGTGTTCGATGAGTTTGTTCACCGATTTCTCCGCTAATTTTGGTTCGATTTTCAAATTTCTATTAAAGTCCCATATAAATTTCGAATCAGTAGTTCTAATCTAATGCGTATAACAAAATATGTAACTACTAATGTTCTACCAAAACAATAATACTTAGGAGTCCTATATCAACAAAGAAAACAAAAAAAAAACGCGTATTTTGCTATCCAACGAACGTATAACATATGTTACAATAACAAACCTTATCTTCTACTTATAAGGTTTATGCGAAACCAATTCGTTATCTTATATAAGAATATGGTGTATTGCGTTTGAAAAAATCATTCATATCTGTTATCCATCGATAAAAGAATCTATTTTTCGATTTTAAAGTCGATTAAAATATACGGAAAGTAAAAAGTACATGTGTGTGATTTATGCAAATATAATTATTATTAATTTATTAATTCAAATTACAAGTGACATCTGACATTATCATCTATATACTTCGATCTACTTACTTTTATATATTTTGCTCCTTCATTATCATCTGCCATAGATTATCTAGAAGTGTTGGAAAAATTACGGAAATACCCATTGAAACTCACCGAAGTAGACATTGAAATATTTACAGTAATCTTACGCTTCAGAGGCGCGCAGGACAGGAGTATAAATATAAATGAATAGCTGTTATCTGCCGCATTAAATATTAATGATCATCCCCATTAACTTCCAAGCTTTTTACGCGACCTACCGTAAGTGCACGTCGAGAGTGTCTTACTAGAAGTGCCAGATAATATAAACCTCACTATCTTTCGTTCGTATATTCAATATATATAAAGTTTTAATTTCTTTTTTATTAACAGAAAATATACAGACTAACAGGAGTGAATAACCATTTAATATAGACTTTTTTAATGATTATTTTTTTTTAAATATGCAATGCCAACATACAAACAAATCTTTACTTTTTATATAATATTTGTATAAATTAAATCCTCTGTCCTATTCACGTGGTAACTAATTTTCGTTAGCACAAGCTAGGTGGCGTAGTAGATAACACCGCGGCCCGCGATCGTTGTTGTTAAGCAACTTTCGCAATGGTCAGTCACGGGATGGCTGACCATACTATCTCGAGCTATTCCGTGTTTGGGAAGCCAGGGTTAGCCATTGGTCTCGGCTGCATTTGCAGTCATTAATACCCTCCAATCCGCAATCAACCAGCGTGGAGGGTCATGGCCCTGGACCGTCCTCCTTCACCACCAATAACGAGGGTCTGAGCCCTTGCAGTTGGGACATACAAGGGCTGATGATGATGAAGCGTCATCGCAAAACCTATTCCAGTATTTCCAGTAGCTATATCTATGTCTACTTTCTTCTTAACACTAATCATAAGGCCTGCGATTGGGTAAAAGCCAGTAAATCACCTGAACCCGCCATAACTTACGCGAGCTTGGCGTGCCCCTTATTAGTTGCCCACAACAAAAATTAACTTGTACTTACGTTAATTTGTGTATATGTGGTACTTGAAGATTGGCTTCCATAAAGATTAGTCTTGAGGTCTGTGCGTATCTGAGAAAAGATCCGTCGCGTATTGTCGGTTGCGGAACGTCAGAACTGATATATATATACGATGAATGATCCGTCGCGTACTAACTTATTTATTTGATTTGCATATGTACCCACGCGACACGCGATAAAAAGACACGAGAGATAAATGTACAGTTGCACAAATGTTTATTAAGATTTAATTTAGTTGTCAAATAAATTTAATATTTTCTCATATTTAAATAAGATTTAATACTACCTACCTTTAAATAACATTGTTTTTCACAGTTCAAACAAATCAAATACCTAAGTATATGACCAGGTATTTTATTAATACGAGTAAACAGCTTTCTTTTTCCTTATTTATATTAACTACCTAACTTTAAAACAAAATTGTAACTGAAATACATGGAAATAAATTTATTATTATTAAAAAAATAATAATGTTCTAAATTTGAAAATTTGTATCGGTACTGTAGCTTAAATTAATGTAAAATTTAATGGACGTTTGTGCAACTCGGTAAAAATCTAACTTTGTATTTTGAGACCACCTTAATTAGAAAAATGTTTAACATTATGTATAAAAGTGTCCACTGCTGAGGTGTGGATCGAATCGTATAAGGAGAACAGGCCAGCACACCAAATGGGCCCAGTACGGATTGGTGGGTGATAATAACTCAATCGAGATAACAAACTTTTCGTTACCCATTCGACGCCTGCCCCTTGCAACAGATGTACAGGTCGGTGACACTGATCATGTTCGCGTGTCACTGAAGCCAGTGCGTAATTGGCGATGCGATGATGACAAATGAAGCTGACTCTCCATTAATTATTTCCTATGCCGGTAGTATTCTAGCAATTAGAAATTTGATTACACGACAAAACAAGTTTTAAATGCCTGGATGACCGAGTCGGTATTTGCCCCCGAAACTCTACATACTAAATGTCATGAAAACCTTTGGAGCCGTTTCCGAGATACAGATTACATGAATTACTAAATATGTACAAGAATTGTTCGTTTGAACTTAAAATAGTTCATTTGTCTCGCTTCATATTGTTTGTAAGCAAATATTGCTATCATACCCATCCATTTTCTTTTTTCCCTTCTATATATGTACATACTTCGATTTATTATTCATATCATATTGATCCACGCTTTTCCTGTTACTCTCTACATGCGAATTGGATTTCAGGATGTAGTTCCGCTATATCTACTTTTATAATGCAGATCACAGATGTAAACTTATGATATTAATAAACGTAATGCAGCATATTTAAAAAGCATTAAGTACCAACACCCAAACAATCCCAACCTTTTTAGTCTTAAAAATCTTAGAGGATTTTACGTTGCAGAATAGCTAGCCCATATAGATTCTATTGTACTCAGCGGCGGATTTACCCGAAGGCCACAGTAGACCAGTACCTAGGGCGGCAAAAAAGCTGAATGAGACCTCCTCTGTTTGTTCATGAACAAACATTCGAAATTTTTTAATCTTAATTAATTAAATTAATTTGAATTAATTAATCGTACTTATATTTGTTTAAAATCGTATCCATATATGTGTTTCAGAGGCAGTATCATGTAATACTTTCGTTGTATTATAAATTATTATTATTGATGAATTGGTTTCTTTGGAGTGTTATTAGCGTTTCGAAAATAGACGAAATTTAATTTTCGGAGAAAAAGTAGGCTTTCTTTTTCTGTTAATGGGAATAAAATTGGGAATATAACATTTCGAAGTATTAGCATTTCTATTCTAATCTGACATACCAACAGATGTTAGCAATAAGAAATTATATTGTTAAGCCCAACAATAAATCTGTTATAATAAAATTTCTCAAAAAAGTAAATTCCCAAATTATAAGAGCTAAAAAGGTCGGTGAGTAGGTACTACATTGTCTATGGCGCCAAGTCTGCAAATCCGCCCCTAGTATAGTTGTACTTTGACATCAACGAACTTACAGCCAAACGCGGGTCTTATGAATCTGAATTAAATTTAATTCTGTTTAAGTAATTGATTCATTGAATACGTGGCACCAGTTTAATAATTTATGTCACTTACCTGAAAGGGTAGATTTTTTAGAAACCCCTGACAGTTAGTTATACGTACCATATAAAATAACTCAACATTTCAACTTAGAAGATTTTAAAGGAACCAATTTTCTTATCTATATACTTTAATACTTATTATAAATTGGAAATGATATGATTTTTTATTTGTTTTATTACATCGAACAGACTCCGAAACTGCTAGTCACAAGGGGGTTGCTCTTGATACTCGTATACTCGCTAAGGGTAGGGTTACTCAAAACAGTGCTTATAAAAGCGAACTGTTTGAATGCTTTAACACTTTCACGTGTATTGTAAAATAAAAACAAAAAGTAATGTGTATGCAAACACATCTGGATCATGGTGCAGTAACTTATTTTATGCAAAATATTATTGTTGCTATGTACTGCGTTAGCTAGTACAAGACCTATTTTAAAAATTATGCGGAAAGACATCATCACTCGTGGGTGGCATAGGCTATAATAGATACGAGCGAAGTAGGTAGTCTGCCTTAAGAATCTAGAAATAAGTATATAAAATAAGTCATCATCATTACCCTTTTACATTCCCACTGCTGGGGCTCAGGCGTTTCTTATGGATGGTTAAGGAAGATGGGCCATGGCCCTCCACGCTGGCCCAATGCGGATTGGAGGGTTGTATCTATTATTTAATATAAAAATGCGGAAAAAAAAACGATGTAAATTTTCTCTAAAAAATCTATAAATATAATCTTTTACTATTTGATTCAAATCGATTTCATCCATAGGGAAGGCCCCAGCAGTGGGGACATTAATAGGATGATGATGTGTGATGTGATACTCAGATAAAATATCTTTATTAAATCTATGCTAAGATATAAATAGATTAACATTATTCCAAGATTTGCATAGATTACTAGTTTAATAAATCTATAGATTCTGATATATGGGTACATTTACTCTTTGATGTACTCTAAATCTTTACTCTTTACTCTAAATATACTCTATGCTTGCTATTCACTGAATTGTCATTTTGTATAGTGTGTATTATTTAATATTTATTTTTATAATATTACTTTATTCAACGAAATGTTACAACTGTTGCTGATTATCCTAAACTGTATAATAATCGGAATATCCACATCATTTGATAGCCGACTGAACGTTGGCACTGTACTGTTTTCTCCATCGGATCATCAAAAACTCTATTGGAATGCGACCGAGTTGAGTCTATTGAAAGCTCGCAGATATTTTCAAGATTTACTTCCGCCCGCCAATTTCATAGAAACAGCAAATGAAGCTTATGTAAATAAACTACTTAGATATTTCAGGGATACATATTGTACAATAAAAAATGAAACTCCCAATGAGACAGTTAACTATGTGATGACTACAGCATTCTCAGATGCTGTGGGTGGCTACTTAAAATTTTGGATCTTACCCGTCACTAAATTCGGATTTTACGGCGGAACAGTATCACAAAACAATATTATAAAACTTTCTCGATTTTATAAAGATTTGAAGAATTTTCTACATACCGACGGTGTTGGCTGGAGGGGCCCAGACGTCAATTTTTTGCATAATACAACAATGTACACTGCACCGCCACGTCATTTCAGGAAAGCTATTAGGAACCCTTGCAAAGCACTTCTTTTTGAAGATAACCCTTACGAATCTATTATTCCAATACCCAAAGTAAATTGGAATGAGAAATCGAGTTCTATGTTCATCCCTTTAAAAAAGTATTCCATTGTACCTCTTGATTCTCCTGATTACCCTAACGCCCTAATAAAATACTATGATATTGCAAAAAACTGCATAGAAGAAAACAATCCTACCCGATCAGATGATTTCGAAAAGAGGTTCCAAGCGTGGTTAGTTAAAGAAGTTATGCCACATCTTTATGACGAGAAGATTTATTTTGGTCTGGGAAGTGTCCTGACGTTGGTTAACAAGACACAAAAGATTGATTTTATATCTTACGATAGAAAGACTCACAAAGTAATTATAGGAGGTTTTCCAATAGATTTAACAGCAAAGAAAACATTACTAATACTTATAATATTGATTCTGGAAATAGCTTGGTGCATTCCTGCCTTAATATATTTAATATGTACCAAAAAAATGAAGCCATTATGCTTTCAAGGTTCAAAATCGGAGGGTTCTAATGAATGCACTAAAACAAGAACTACAACTACTACTACAACCAACGCGGTAAGTATCTTTCTTGATAAACCACAAGCAGACATGATAAGGTTTGAGCCGCGTCATATTCAATCAAAATCTTCGGTTCCCATGAAAGCAGGGATAAGTTATGAACGTGAAGTCAAAAACCTCCCGTCGAAATCTTCATTAAAAAAAATATGCAATACCAGTTCATCACACTCGCAAAAGAAAGTTCCTATAACAATGGAAAAGTCAAAATCATCTATACTAAGTCGCAAAATATGCTGTTGTTCCAAGTGTCCCATATCTGGTAGTTTACATAACACAAAAAGTGTGTACTCAGAAAAGGATGCGATAATCGCAATTAATAAATCATATGATTCAAATAAAAAGTCTGTTAAAAAATTATGCTCCTGCTCTAAATGTACCATATATGGTAGTTTACGTAAAACAGCAAGTTTTTATTCGGAAAATGATACGATCGTCGCAATTAATAAATCAACTGAGTCAAATACAAAATCTGTTAGAGAAACAATATCACGTGTAACTTACGTAAAATGTGAAAGTAACAACACGTTGCAAAATATACAATTAAAATGCTCCACAGATCAAATTTCAATAAAGGAGTCGAACCAAAACCTGGACAAATGTGCTTGTCATGATTGCCTTCAAGATGAGAAATCAAACAAAAACCTGATTTACGATATTTGCGTAAAGGATACGAATTCACATCTAAGTCTGGAGAAAAACTGTTCTTGTCGTAGCTGCCTAAAAGATAATAATTCAGAAGAAAGTCTGGAGAGACACTGCTCTTGTCGTAGTTGCCTAAAGGATATCAGTTCGAACCAAAGCCTAGAGAATCATTGCTCTTGCCATGATTGCATAAAGGATAATAAATCGGACCGAAATATAGAGAAAACGGTATGCCTCTGTCAAAGCTGCCTAGAGGATACAAATTCGGACCAAAACCTAGACAAATACTTACCTTGTCAAAGCTCAAAGAATAGCTGTCATACCCATTTTGACGACAAAAAAGACAGCCAAGTCACAATTCTTACTCAAGAAATTCTATCATCTGAGCTTGTGAACATTAAAAAATTTGATACAAGCATGCAGGCGCAGCAGCCCTTAGAAATAGATAATGTTTACAAGGACATAGGACTAACAATAGAATCAATGAATCATCCGGGTCTCGAAATAATGATTGAAAACCCACACACCGAAATAAGTGTGTGTGTCGGTAAAGGTAATTTTGATAAAAAGTATACTCTAAAGCCAAGTAAGATTCCTAAGAGGCTACCAAATGCAGACTATAGAGCGACTCATCAACCGTCTACCAAAAAAGAGGTTGTACGGATCGCTAATACTAATCGAAGCTTGATACCAAAACGTAAAATAACAATAGTAGACGATCTGGCTATCGACCAAAGAAAATCTGTACACAAAGTTAAAAACAATAAACTAAATGTAACTTTATAATTTTAAACGTATAGTTACTTTGAATTTGATTGTGAAATAGGTGCTTACTATGTTTATAAATAGGAACATAAAGATTAATGATAAATATTTTATTACACAAATACGTAATCATTCGATATTTATTTTTTACCACTGCACATTACTATAAATATTGAAAGTACATATTTCTTTAATATAAAGAAATTCGACTGTATGTTTGATAATATATATGTTCGCAGATTTGTCCCGGAATCATAGCCATATTTGCAACATTTTTTTTATATTTTTTTATTTGAAAGCCTACAACTTCTATGGTGGTCCATATAAAAATTACCTAAATCGTGCGGCTTAGATAATAGACATTAAAGTTTAGGAGCGAGGGCTCGCTACGTCACATTATGTAGAAAATGCACAAAGGTGTGACGTGATGCGACATTTCAACGTAGTGCATCTCCGTATTTTATTAATAACACAAAAAATTATAATAAATACATACCCAATGTACAGACAAACAAAAAAGAGTCATTATCCCTATTATTTTGTGGAAGTAAACGACATGCCGTTACAGTTAGTTAGAATACTTAAAAGAACCCGGGTCAACGGATACTTTTTTAAGTTTTTCTGAATAATATTTTATTGGATCTGCCCTCGATTTAGTTTAGCGCCTGATACTATAATTTTAATGGCTTATCAACACTTTCGCTTTCAAAAAATAATGACCAACAAATCAATTGTACACAAGAAATGTATTTTTTTCTAAGCCACATATTCCGCCACAAAATTAATTATTACAACGTACAGAACAATATAATAAAGTAACATCCCACTTTGTTCCATATGGTCGCACCCTGCACTAATCACACTGATGAATTTATTGGTACACCGGGTGAATTACGTGCGGGTCCCGGCTGAGTTATTGCATATTTGGACCAGCTCAGGTGGCCCGACGCAAACACTAATCTGTCATTACGCCCGTTACCACTTAGCGAATTGGGCTCGGACTTTGGGGTGGATTCGGTTAGACAGATTTCCAATTCGATGATAAGTAAGTGTATTTAAGAGTCAGTTACTATTTCATTTTTAATCGACTTTTAAATCAAAAAGTTCTATTTTAGGTTGTGTTTTTTTTATTATTTTGCTGCTATTATTCCATAAAGAAATATCGAATTGGAATATGCAGTTTTGTTTTTATCATTCAACTATTTAACCCCATTAAGAGAAGAATTTTCCAAAAACTCCACGGCCAACTCCCCCGTCATAATAACTGAATATTTACTACTTAATGAGACACCAATTAAAATAAATTTATTAGTAACATCACTAAAAATAATTAAATAAAAAATTATAAGAATATAAGTATAATAAAGCATATTTACAAAAAACTTCTATCGAACTCGGGCAAGGGATTTATGTGGGTAAGTGAGAATGTTCTTTAAAATATAAATTATTTACATACCTTATAATATAATCTTCGTCTTACGTATCCAAAAATCTCAAGAGATAAAAAGGTGTAGTCAATTTTCTGAATATATATCTATCTACATTAACTATTATAATTGTAGGTATATGTAACTAAATATTAAATACATAGTCAAATATGATAGTTCGAAAAAAATGGAAAATAATGTCACCTAAATCGGTCGAGTGGATCCCGAAGTCACGGGAAAATAGCTACTTATGTATATAAATATACAAGGTTTAAAATTTAACTTTATTTACTAGCAAAAAAATGAAAGTTTTACCAAGACATTCGGTTGCCTCTCCGATTAAACAATTACGTTGCTCATAAATTAAAGGGAGTGCCCAACAATTTGTTCCTTAATCCCGTGTCGATCGGGGATTATCCAGTTCAATTGGTGGTAATCCCACAACATTGACACCGGGCTGTCTTGTCCACTATTTATTATTAGCCGGTCACCCCTCGCGATTTATCTTAAAAGTTGTATTAGTATTCAGTACAATAAGTCGCAACTAGATTAAAGTTAAAACTTGATTGATTTATTTCGTGTTGTGATTATTATTGAAATTATTAAATTTGATACATTTTGCATTCACTATGCTATACTAGAAGATATTCTTAGTGAATTTGTTTTGGCTGTTTGGGTGGATGACCTGGACATTGATGAGAATACGCTCTGTAGTAGCAAAAAAGTAGCAAGTGCTTGAAAGATTCCTCAGCCCTGTTAGGTCCTGGGTAGCTCAGTGATTAGAGAAGTCGCCTGGATTGCGAAAGATCATGGGTTCGAGTCTCATCTCAGAGTCATCATCATCATCAGCCCTTTTCAATCCCCACTGCTGGGGCTCAGGCCTTCCTTATGGATGATTAAAGAGGATGGGCCATGACCCTCCACGCTAGCCCAATGCGGATTGGAGGGTATTAACGACTGCAAATGCAGCCGAAACCAACGGCTTAACGTGCCTTCCGAATCACGGAGTAGCGTGAGATAATAATTTTTTAGTCACCCATCCCGTGACCGACCCTTGCGTTGTTAGTTGCTTAACGACAACGATCACGGGCCGCGGCGCTTATCCACAACGCCACTGAGCTACTCAGCCAAGGACAAAGTGGATTTTTTAAACATTTTTAGGAAAAATATTATTGGAATCTCAATTTACAATAAATAATTCAAAGTAAAAATTTCCTTTTACAAACTTTTGTTGGATCTTAAATCTTGTATAGAAAAATCAAACGTTTCCAAACTCAACGGGGTTGCGTTGCCATGGCCACCATTCACTTCCATCATAAGACCCTGGGTATCTCGGACCGACGTCATTGTCAAGATAATTCAAACAAGCCCAAATCCCAATGCTACCTTCGGACTTCATCATCGGATCAGCTCCACTCCATCCAAGTTATGTGTATGCAACATTTCAGTAGTCCAATTCAGTGAATGTTTATGTATGAAGCGCATTCTGTTGAAATGCTATTATTACGTATACCTTAGCAGCTCAATCGAAAACCGGGAAGTGAGTCAAATTAAGCTTGCAATATTTAAATCGACAATAACCTAAAGGAAGAACTGTTAAACCGGTTTGGCCATTTTATGATGACCTGTAGCGCGTAAGTGAACGTAGACATATCATATAGTGCCTAATATATTTACTAGGTTAGTTAGAACGCCTTGAAGTGTCTGTCTCTAAATCAAAATAAAAAATAAATAAAAAGTCAAATTCTTAAATAAATCAAAATTTGGTGTCTAGTTTTCTTATGTATTTTTATAATGTACTAGCTTTCCGACAGCGGCTTCGCCCGCGTGGTCATGTATTGTACATAAAAACCTTCCTTTTAGATCACCCTATTTATGAAAAAAAACTGCATTAAAATCCGTTGCGTAGTTTTTAAGATTTAAGCATACATAGGGACAGAGAAAGCGACTTTTTTATACTATGCAGTGAAAACATATTGTTACTATAAAATAAACGCTAAAAATAAAACAATAATCTTCTCAGAAATGACATCATTTATACCACATATTTACACAGACGAACGAAATATGGTTCTAATCCCATACGATTAACGTTACAAATTAAATAAACATAATACACAACACAGGCACAGGCAGTCCGGTGATTTATATCCAGCCGGGATTACCGGATGAATTGTAAGCTCACTGTGAATTCAAGTACATATATCGTTAATGTATAGAGAGGTAGAAAAAACATTATTCTAACGTGCTTATAAAGTTATATAACCCCCTTACGGTTTAAATTCTTCAAAATCCTTACTAAACGCAGATATCACTATGTTATAATAGATATTGCCAAGAAAAAAACCCATTTTCATTTATTCAAAAGGAAATACGAAACAAATCATTTTATTCAAAGTACTAGCTAAAGCCCGCAACTTCGTTTGCGTGGTATAAGTGTTATATTACAATAGTTTATTTTTAACCAACTCCAAAAAAAGAATAGGTTTTCAATTTGACTGTTTTCTTATATCCTAGTTGCACAGTTTTTGGTTGAAAGAATATATTCTTGAAAAAATCCCATTAACTGAACCTGTCGATGGCCTACGATCTGGTCTCGTATAATATTCTGTCAAGAGAACTACAAAATGAAACAACTTTACCACCTGAACTGTGTTCAATAATTATATATTGGTATAAGAATCAGAACAACAGCGTACAATGGGCAAGAGTGCCATCGGACGTGTACGAGTTGGAGTATGGGGTGAGGCAGGGGAGTTAGACCTCGCCAAATCCCTTCAACTTGTTTTTCAACGAGCTGATCGAGGGGCTCAGTACCACTGACATCGTCACATAGATGGTATTTGTGTAAATAATCTGAATAACGCCGATGACATGGTGTTACTGAACCCATCGATTGGTGCTATGAGCGGATTGTCGCGCTCGTGTGAAACCTATGCCAACATTAATTATAATATTAAGTTGCCTCCGCATGACCACAAAGAGTATGTTGCAAGTTTCAAAGCACGAAACAAAAATTACCGTTGTTATTTCTTTTGGTGCACCATTAAAACGAGTGGGTCAATTTAAATATTTGGATCACTAGTTATCTGAAAATCTGACTGATAACCTAAGGTCGGCATTAGGTAGAGTTATTTATGTAGGTACTTACATCGAAATGTTGATATTAATGTGGACCTTCCCGGGATTTCTAATGGACAATCTTGGACATCTTTGGACATCCGATGTCATTGATGTAAGTTTGGCAACGTCGTGCGTGCAGTAGTTTAAATTGTGTAAAAGTAAAAACTTTTTATTTAAAAAATCACGGGATTTTTTCTGTTCTTTAAAATTAATCTCGGGATTTGAAGCATATCCACTTTATTCTTTCGCTTTATGAAATCAGTGTAAGTACATGAATAACTCTACCTAATTCCGACCACTGCTGATAACTCAGGTATTGAGAAGGAGCGCAGGGCGTTGAGTGTGTATGAAAAGAAAGGTCTGCGAAAGGTCGTGGGTTCGAATTCCATCTCAGAGTACTAGAAACAAAGTGGATTTTTTAAGCATTTTTCATTAATAATATTTTTAAAAATTGACGAAATTATAATAATT